GAGAACTAGAGATTGTTTTGAACCGAATAACTAACCGACGAGAGGGCGTTTGCTTGGTTCGATTTGAAAGTAAAAGAGAGAAAGAACTCGACGTGTATCTGGTCAGAACATGTCAGAACGGAACAGCGTGACTAAGCTAGAGACAGGAATAGGAACCCGGTGCATGACCAGCGAGTGTAAACCGATACTCGCGTGACGGACGTCCCTGAAACACGAAATATATAACCAGTATACAATCCGCCAACTTTGACCATGGTTTGGTTGATGACGAGAAAACAACAACAACAACAACAACAAAAAAAAAACAGACAAAAAAATAGCATCCTAGCAAAAATAACAACAATACATTGTCCATTTTTAATAATAATCAACTTTAAAACTATTGTACAATATTGACTTGCGTATATGCATCATTCAAAGATTTACTTTTCTGACATATGGTGACACAGAAACTGGAACGTGTGACAGCGTTATCTTTGTAGGAAAACTTTTTAAACTTGTAATTCGAAACAAATCTAAAATTTATTATCTTAATTTCTGGAATTTCTGGAATTTCTGGAATTTCTGGAATTTCAGCTCTTTCAGCTTTCAGCTGTTTCAGTTTCAGCTTTTTATTGATACCCTATTTGGGATAAATGCAACGCGTGAAATTTCAAAATTGTCAAAAAAATTCACGAGCGAAGCGAGTGAAGTTTGTGACAATTTTGAAATATCTCAAGTCATGTCAGGTGGTATTTATCCYRAATTTCACGTATAAAACATGCTATTATCTGTTTATAATATGGTTGAATAAAATTGTGCAAYTTGAAATACCATTATTAAGGAKAAATACCACTCCTCYAAGCCAATCAAATTGCACAATTTTATTCAACCATATTATAGTAGTATTGACACTACGGTCCCCACTACWACCCACTATCGTTAKCSTGAAAACAATAGATTGGTTTGTGACGTAGGGCGGGGTGTTGGAAGTTTCTCAACTTGCTCAACAGTCCATTTCACTATCGCTGCAACTTTCCCTGCTACTTAAATCATCGTCGGAAGAAACGTTGAACTGAACCGGGCGTTGTTCCTCGTGGCTTGGTAAAGCATAGTGATCACCATGCTTATGTGCATCAACTGTTCCAATGATACACTTTGGGGTGATATTAATCACGACCATTTGGATTTGTTCAATATGCTTCATTTATTAGGTTTAATCAAAAAATAATTTTTCACAATTTATTGGCTATTTCGTTTCAAACTTTCGTGGACCAGTTTGTACAACAGGTTTGATTACTTTCCCAAAGTTTAAGCTAAAACTATGAAGGCAGTCGAGAGATATGGGGTTGGTTGTCTTGAAACCTAGCCATTAGGGCCTTTTTTACAAAACGCACCAAAGTGAAAGTATGGGGGGTGGCCCATCTTCATGTTTAAGCATAGCCAAAGAACTTGAGGTAGTTGAGCATGGTCAATGTTGTGTGCAGATCTCAGCTATGGAGTTTGAATTTGCTGGCGAAGGCCGGTCACGTGACTAGCACTAGGTCAAGAACCCTATCCCAAAGCCCCCCTGTAGACCTAGCACAAGGCTAACCCTAAGCCAAATCTTAACCCTAAGCCTAAGAAARCAGTYCTAACCCTAAGTATGTGTTAGCCCTAACCGCAATTTTAACAAATAGTGCGAAAAATCACAGGTCACGTGACCCTCATGATATGTTTGGGATTAAATTATTGAATACCCAGTAATTCTATTTTTCATAAATCTGACATCATGTTAGACTTCCAAAAGGCATTGGATACCTGTGTTAATTTCGACGAGCTGACAATGTGACAAGCGGCCACYAAATAAACTCTGCTTTAAATAATTTCTCTTAAAAATACATTGCAAGCTTTGAGATGAAAGAGATCCATACAACCTAACGAAGCTAAACATCTCCCCAACCTCCAACCTCATCTCTGTTCTAATCACTATTCCCTTATAAGCTGTTGATTATCACGATCACAGTAAATTTGCAAGGAAATAATCAGTGCAAATTTGGATAACGTAAATTAAGAACTCTAGTTTCATACTTGTTATGTTTAATAATTTCAAAGCATTGGTGCTAATCAAGCTCTAAAACTCATAAAATATTTGATATATAACGCGCGCTCTGCCTCTGGTTGGTTGACGACCGTGCTTATATCAAAGGACATGACAAAGACACTCTTACCGGCAAAATTTGTTTTTCGCTCGAGAAACGCAGAACAATTATATAAAAGAAATATAAAACGGCAAGATGCTTGCTTCTCTCATGTTTTTCAACTCCCACCGTGTTTGATATCAGAGGACAGAGACACCCGCGCAAAGTTGCTATAATTTACGATAGAGAAGGCACGGACATGTTTACTGGAATCTTGTGACAACACAACAACTATAATGACCTGAACAATGCGTGCTTAATTCGTTCAGATACTTAAACGACTAATAGCTATAATAAATCTGACTGTTATGTGTAAATATTTACCGTTGTTAGCGGGAAAGCGACGGAGAACATGATCTAGGTCGAGAAATGTTTCAGTCGTGGTGATAAACTTTAAAAATAAATAAATAAATCGACTTTATTTTAAAAAGTCTAAGCATTTATAAATATTTAAAAACAAAAATACTCACCGGTGCTTCTTTCTTCTCTTGCCCATCGTTGGGCGCACAAAAGAATCAAAGCAATTATAACAGTAATAATGGTAATAAACAATACAAGGTACCACAAGAATTCCAGGCAATGCGTGCTCAAATATCAAATGACAACTAACAACAAACATATCTCCGAGGCGTAATGTGATTGGACTAGCCGGTCTAGATCTGAAAATTTCTATTGTGTGAGGGTTGATTTAGACCAATCAAAAGAGAGGATTTTGATGGGCTGACAATACTGTCAACATATCTGATATATATTACATGTTTCCTGTAAGTCACGCAACTGCCCTGTAAATCATTGATCCCGATCCCAGTTGAAAAACCTTTGATCCCAGGTTAAAAACKTTTGATCCGGATCCTGAGTCTAAATCCTGATCCCTGATCCCAAAATAGCCCCAAAACTGACGCTGATCCCTGATCTCAAGACCTCGTTACTAGCCTGGTTTGGAGTCCCCACAAGACTGTTTGTAAGACTGTTTAGTAAGATAGTATTTTGTTATGAGCTGCTCACTAGCAGCCAGCTCTTACACACTATATACCCCTGTGCATGTCGTGCATTGAACTAACTTAGTTAAAGGCCCACGTGCAACCAAGAAGCTTTGGGTTCGTTTCTTTTCTTTTACAAATGATCTCTTGTTGAAAAGTCATTTTCTGATTGGTCCAGGATCAAATATCAGGGCATAAGTTGCAAATTAACGCATAAGATGGCGTATTTTCGCATGTGAGAAAATCGCTCAAATCTTCTTGGATGCATGTGGTTATGTTAAAAATTTAACTTAGGTCCGCATTATGAAAAAAAAAATAAACCCCCGAAACTTGTGAAGCAGCCTACGAGACTTTATCTAGTTGTCATGCTGTCATGTCGCGTCATTCAAAATTTGAAATGGCCTTCGCGATCGTTGTTCTAACTCCCTTACAAGTTTTTTTAAATAGGTGTGTACAATGTTTGAATTTAATAATGTTACGATTTTAGCACTCAATTTCAAGTATTTTAAAATATATTAAAATAACAAGCAAACATACAAAAAACAATGATGTTCTGCTAATATATAAACTTTCATCTTTTATAAATAACTGTTTCGAACATTATAAGCAAACTAATTTATTATTTTGCATTTCAATTACAAGATGCCATCGTTAACGGATCTTCTATTCCCGGACAAGGCTATGTTTATGTCTTAAAAAGAACTATACAAAATTCCACAATTACAAGCCAAACTGTCATGTGGGTTGCCTTTGACAATTATTCAACCATTGCTACGATCGCAAAAGTTGCATGCAAAATGGCGGGTTACAAAGGCCCTTCCTCTCCTTCAATGCCTGGTTACTACGTACTGAACGGTTGGAGATTGATGAATCGCAATGATCAAAGCAATCTAAATATTTGGTCTTGTAAGGGAAACGAAGCTTCATTGCTTCAATGTGATTTCAATTACTCTCCAAAGTATTTTCCATTGCTGGTGAATTGTTTACCACCGGGTAAGTATAAGCGTTGTTAGTGCCTTATCTCGAGGAAAGGGAGAAGTGGCTGTCTAACCGTAAAGGTGTTTAATCGTTCAAGGTATGAATGCGAGAAGAAGGCGAGAAATAAGTGAAAATATCCATGATGCAATAACGATATATAATGTAATGATATATGTTAGTTGTCAAAAATGTCGTAAATCGCTGTATGATTTGATGTTGGTGTTTTATATCATTTAGATGGTCCTAAGCATTTACATGGCATTTCCTATGACTTATGGACACAGTCACGGCGCATACCTACCGGATTCTATGAATCTAGGTGGAAGCATTCTACATTGTTTCAAGATAAGCCGTTAAGCTCTCACATCCTGCAGCCAACATTTGATGTTATGTCAATGTATAAGACCGTTTTTGGAATAAAACTTTCTGCATATTTAATGGTAAGAACTTTTTGCTACCGAAAAATAATTAAGAAATGAAATCAATAAAAATAAAATACAACTAATACCAAAAAACATAGCTTGACTATATGAAGGCACATGATGACGAAATCTATAGTTGAAAAATTAAAGTCTCAGCTTCCAAATCCTGCCTCAGATATATACTAGAGGGAATATTTTGATTGCATTCTTTCCACAGTTAAGAAACTATCAAAAAAACTTAGTTATTGAGGCGGTGACCCTATGTAAGCTGTTGACAGTCAATCCAGCAAACCAGAACTTTGAACAATTATTAATCATCATGATGTTTTTAGATTAAACGTCCAGGGGAATATTCCATTGGCGCTGCTTGCCGTCATGGCTGTGAAGTATGGTGGAAGAGAATACAAGAACCAGGCCTTGATGATTATGGGACATCTGGAGATATGATTATTAAACTGGCATTAACCTTACAACGTAATGAGTACGAAAGGTAAAAATAGTGAGTTAGTTACAAGGCCACATTTTTTAGAAACTGAAGATATTTCCTTAGGTTAGCTTTTCTTATGTTCTTGAATGATTCCTATGCATTTCTCATTTGAAATGAAAACATTCTAGTAGTGTACTCAAGTGTAGTGTACTTCTCAAGGACCTTGCTCAGAAATCAAGAAATTTTCAAGACTGTACGAACCCTATAGATATCTGGTTCAAAAGAACCCCTCAAAAAAGAGAATTTGTGGTGCACAGGCGAAAAGGGTGGGATTCACTTCTCTTCGTCTTCAGTTTTAGGCCGGGTCAAAATAATCTTTTGTAAATCGAAATTCTACGTTTTTTGAAATTTCCCATCCCAGGTCTTAGCATTTTTGTTTTGTAGAAGTCTATACAAATCTAGCCACAGCCTCCTTTTCCAGATCCAGCACAGCGCAAACCCAGATTTTTTTCTTAACTGGCCGATTTGCATCATGGGAATGTGGTTGCGAACTCTCTATTCTCCTGTTCATGTTCTGTTCACCTCTCGATTCTCATTACTGTTTCTATGTTTATGTATTTTGAGACAAGAATTTGTGTACGTATACTTATCGCGTTAATACAAGAGTTTTATACACTTTTCTTGGAGCCAGAGTTTGTGTATATAAGTCATCAGGATCGATCTTCCATGCTGTCTTAATATTCTTCTTAACTTGATCTGATATACCGCTTACGATTGAAATACGATTTTATATTCGATCACTTCAGCATTATTTTAGCTATATTTTTTAATCCCGAATCGCCATAATTTTGCCGTCTCATTCTGACAATTCTATATTCACATCGTTATTATGCTTAATAAGGCGCTGTTTTCCTGTCATATGCTCTTTAAAGCAGATTTTGTAGAATATATTTGAAAGCGTCGCCTGAAGGTAGCTTTTTGTTCCCATTAGTATTAAGTCGGTTCATGAACGAAAAACGTCAATAAGTGTAGGTCAAGAAGGTTCTTTTCTTTAAACATTTCGTCGAATGTTCAATGTTTATTATGGCCTCTCGATCAGGTCAAATTTATTTAAATTTCACAGAATTTTGCATATTCTGAATGAGCTCTTAGAGCGTGAAGTCGTGCTAGCTATTTTGAAAAATTAAGACAGACAGGATATCACTCTTGCTCGATATTTCTAGTGTTTTGATGTCGTTGCGCCAATAAGCTGCCAAAAAAGAATATCTGTAGAAAGTATCGGTTCTGTCCCACCAATGGTTGCCACCCACCCCACCATGGCGTCATAGCTTTTTTTAAAGAGCCCATGGAGTCATGACGTCATTACTATTTTTTGATGGGGCTGTTGGAGTCAATGTCTGGACCATATATGGTGAATTTATTCGGTGTCAAGAATGTGATGCCGTTCATTAAATATCGTTAAAATAAAAAAAACTTGAAACTCATTGACAATCATGTTAATAAAAAACATCCATAAGGCAGAATAAATTGAAAAAATCCCCTGGTTTGGATTAAATAGAAGAGTTTTTATCTAGTAAACATTATCCGCTTATAGTGTTATTGTTTTTCTCATCGTACAATCGAAACGTAAGTCATAATTTTGATTATTATGGAGCAGTTGTATTGTCTGTATAAGTCTTTGCATTTCTCTTGTTGTATTACATGAAACTAGACGCATAGCTGAGCAACCTCTGGATTCTGCTTGATAAAAATATAATCTAGCAGTGCATCAACATATTGAAGGCCATGAAGGGGTAAAATGGGACTGGGATTTTCCTGATTTTTGGCTGGGAAAATGAGATTGGATGCACTGGAAATGGATTTTTGTCTGCTGGGAATGGGAAACAAAATATTGAATAGGAGTAGTTCAGCTCGCTGTTTTCAATCCTCATACAGATCGCCCGCTCATATTGTATATATTACTTATAAAGCATGAAAAAAGCTTGTCATAGTATTTTGTTTTTTTATGAATATGAAGGCCCAGTTTGCACCATTATGCTTTGCGCGCCCCTGTTATTGATATGATTTACATCAAAATACTTCTAGTGTCCAAATATCACCATAAAACGAATTTCAGATGGTTGAAAACTCTAATATTAGCGTTTAAAGTGCTTAGAAATGTGAGATGGTCAAAGATTCGAAACGCTAATACAAATTATAGACTTTCAGTAAACTGAAAATGGCCGCCTCCAGGCCCTTGCTGCCCCTAAAGCATAATGGTGCACACTGGGCCTTTAAGAGTGAGTATCCGTAACGATCAAACAAAATCGAAAATCCGTGGCAACGGCTGAAAAATCGATTTCGCTCATATTTTGTAGGTTGGTAGAGGAATGTTTCCTAAGAATCCCTATGTATTTGGTTTGCTTCAATTTTGCAATAAAACCGAGAAAATCGACTTTTTCTAGAGACACCTCGAAATGTTGATATTCGCTGTCGATTTTGGCTCGACTTTATGAAGCTCTAAATAAACACCAAGTAACGCAAACAGAAAAATACCTTTGAGCCCTTGTAACACCACACTTTGTTTATAAATAGCGTGACTTTGAGCGTGGTTAACGGATTAAAACATATTGAAATCGTTATTTTCCCTAGAGATGTATTTTAAGTCGCAAAAAGTAGGGTGTACAAACTGGCTAACTGTGAATTTGCGAAACCTTTAAAGCTCATGAAATCTGGATATTTTGTAGTTCTAACAATGTACTTTAAGAAGTTTGAATCAAATCTTTGGGCAATTGTTTTGAAGTACGCGAAAAAGCTCTCATATGTCACATAAACTTGACCTTTGGCGCAAACGGCCAAACAATAAATACAATGAATATAACACTGTCGAGCCAAATATTTGGCACACAAATC